ATCTAAAACGAAATTCTAATAAAACGAATTGCGAAAGTTGTTATCTTTTTACTTTTGCTACTTATTTTAAATTTCTCAACTTCAGAACAAAATACATTTTCAACTAATGTAATTAGCTAGTTATTTCAAACAACAGAAACCACTGCTTCATTATAAAAACCCCACTCGTAGTAGGGACTAAGCCAATTTAGTAAAGTAGATAAAATTTCGTGAGGAACTAACCAATTACCTTGGCTTCGCTCGGGTGCACAAATTTTTCGGGTGCCTTTTGAATTTATTATTTTTTATACAGACAACGCCACCTTTTGGCAAATTTTAATACTAAATGTAGCCTATATTATTCAAACAAATCTATCCCACGGGAAAGTAAATTAACTTAATGTGGTATCTCACTATAAAGAATGATATAAAAAATTGTTCTTCCCTGAATCTACATAATACATAATTTCTTTTTGTATTCGCCAGTAACCGCTAGATTAAAATTGATTTAGCTATGCCGGCGATTGCTATACGTACTAGTACAAATAGAAAGATATATTTTTAACAGTTATTACTTATTTAGAATGTAATGATGTGTGAATATTCGATGACACGTTTGGCTCAGTTTCTAGTGACCCTACTTGCTGGGCCAGATGTCGCGGGTTTGAGTACCGCTGGGGACATTAATTTGTGTGAGCAGCACGAATGTTTGTACTTATATATATGTTGTATATCAACTATCTGGTATCCATAACACAAGCCTCGTAGCTGACCATGGAACTAGATAATGCTGTGTATTAATGTTCCAACGGCCAACATATTTATTAAATATGTATTTATTCTATATTTATTTTTAATGAAAAATATATTGTGTAAGCTCATCATAATATATTTTTTTTTTTTTTTTTTTTTTATTTATTAAGGTCTACCAGCAGTTTTACAATTATATACATTTATGGCTTACATACATATACAAGTGAAAATAGGTTAGTAATCGTAAATCTATTTAAAGGTAAACACAACATGCTCAAAAAAAAAACAATTAAATGTAACAAAGAAATAAACAATTAGTGTGTGAGATTAATAGTATTAGTAAAGACAGTTTTGATGTTTTTTCTAAAGACATTGAGTGAAGTGTTAAATACATCGATTGAAATACTGCACCTGTTGAAAATCTTTATAATCCTAGGTATAGCTGAATACGCCCCCAATACTGTTCTACGAGATGGCACAGACAGAGGCTTGATCACACCACGAGGCAAACGAGGAGGCACGTAAAAATTAAATAACTGCAAAAGTTGCGGACAGTCAATTTGATCACGAAGAATTTTATATAGAAATACCATATCGAGGATATCTCTTCTGGTGGTCAGAGATATCATTTTAAAGTATTTTAACCTACTGTCATATGTATCTAGCGTTCTTCCTACGCCTGTGGAGTACGCAAGGTGCCTCGTAAAACGCTTTTGCAGTCGTTCAATTCTAAGAGAGTGTGTCGAATAGTGTGGTCGCCATACAATACTACCATATTCTAAAATACTCCTTACCAGGCTATTATATAATATAATTTTTGTACTGGGCTTAAAAACCCTTTTAGTAACGCGGACAATAAAACCCAAAACTTTGGCCGCCTTTTTTATAACCGCGTTTATGTGTGGCAGGAACGTAAGTTTTACGTCTAGAATTATGCCTAGATCCTTGATTGTATCCACTTCTTCCAATCTATTATTATCAATAACATAAGTAGATGCAATAATTTTAAGATTTCTGGTAAATTTGATGTGTTTGCATTTGTCGATGTTTAAGCGCATGCCATTTATTTGACACCATTCGGACAATCGTGTCAGGTCACTTTGCAACAGTAAGGACTCTTCTACTGATTTAATAGTGCGTATAAATTTGAGGTCGTCGGCAAAAAGATAAGGTGTCGAGTATTTAAAACAGGATATAATATCGTTAATAAATATAATAAAGAGTATGGGTCCTAAGTGAGAACCTTGTGGTACACCTGACGTGATGAGATATTTTTGTGACTGATATCCGTTAATTGTTACGCGGAAATACCTATTTTGTAGATACGATGTGAACCATTTCAACATTGAACCCGTTACTCCATAACAAGAGAGCTTTTGCAATAGTAAAAAATGGGGCACCCGATCGAACGCTTTACTAAGGTCCGTATAAATTGCATCTACTTGACAGTGTTTATCAACAGATTCTATCACATCATCTGTAAAAGTTACAAGATTTGTCACAGTTGATCTGCCTTTAAAAAATCCATGCTGGTGATTAGTTATTAAGTTTTTAAAATGATAATTAATGTATGGACAGATAAGATCTTCAAATATTTTCGCGAACTGTGATAAAATTGATATAGGTCGGTAGTTTTCGACTGAGGTTTCATCATCGCCTTTGTATATGGGTACAATCCTTGCTTCTTTCCACATGGTTGGAAACTCTCCAGTGCGTAAAGATTCATTATATATTAAAAATAGAGGTTTAGCAAGACCAGAGGCACATTTGCTTATAAAAATAGGTGGTATATTGTCTGGGCCCGGGCCTTTTAATATATTGAGACGTTTAAGTTTACTTAATACATCATCAACTGTGATTTTAATAGAGGGGAATATTCTATTCCCCTAATCCTAATATAGACATCAGACACAGATATCTTTAGGTAAAATTTATACGTCCTATTCAGAGTATTTCATTCCAGCCCGCATTGACTGATGTGCAAACTTCCGTAATATGTGTAAAGTTAGCAAAGCACTTAGTAAGCTTCTTTCGCCTCGTTAAAGAAAATTGCATGAAATCGTTCTTTTTTCTATTTTTTTCGTAGATATGGACAAAGTCTTATTTTATTTTATTTTTTTAAACATAGTGGTGTTGTGTGGTATGTTTCACAGACTATGTAATTGTAGCCAAACTGACGTTTTATAATCGATATTATACAATAAAATATTACTTCCTAAATAAATATATAATATTATGTGTACATCACTTTAAAATATTTTTAAAATAGGGTTACAATTGGTGAAGATAAGACATAACACACAAAACATATACCAACTTGGATTATCTCCGGATAAATGATACTAATAGTGTGTTTTGAATTAAAACTTGTTCATTAACATCACTATCATCTTCAGTGGAAAGCTAAGAAAGGATTTTCATTCTAACGTCTTTAATAATTAAATCATTTAAAAAAATCATATAAGAAACTAGTCACAGAGCGCGGTTTCATCTGCCTAAAACCAATCTTGATTTTATAAACAGAATAGTAGAATAGTAGTGTTAGTTCAATATATGTGTACTTATTTAAAATTTGCTTAATTTCATTTAAACAAATTCTAAAATTCATATATACAGAAGAAACAAAGATACACGACAATATTTCGCTATTCTAAAATAAGTTTAATTGCAGTAATCGAACCTGTAACTATCTAGCAAGTAACCATTTCACGAAATAAGCATTTTAACCGTCGCATTTCTGTAAACAACTCGGATTTATTACTTTACACAGAGTCAAGCTATGTTCCATTTTCCTTAAAACTTACAAAACAACTGGAGCGATTTAAATGTAGCTAGAACATTTTCCTCGTGAAATAAAATAAGAGTATATTTGAGACGACATTATATTTTGAACATTGATCGTCCAACGAGTACGATGAACTAAATCATGCTTATCAATCTGAATTCAGTTTAATTTTATATTTACTTACCTGCATATAGTTAAATGTATTTTTTTCATTTTAAATGTAAAAAAATTGAATATTTTTTTAATAAAGATTAATTTATTGGATTTATTAATAAACAGTTATTGATTTTTATAGAAATTTATAGATATAGGAATATTCATTATAAATATATTTTTAAATTTTGGACATATATTTCCACTGGACACGCAAGAAAACTAAAGACCTACATATTTTTCTGTTCCCTAATTATTATATAATTGATTGTATTAAGCAATAACAAAATCTTATTTCCTTGTTTATAAATCATAAGTTAAGTTATAATTTAATATTTTTGGGAATCAAGAAATAAATTAATTATTTAAATTTACTGTTATCACTTCAATTCGTTATTTTTTTTAGTATACTCTAAAAGCGTACCTAGTAATAGTTTCTGACAGCATGACTTCTTAATTGGTCGTCTAAGCCCTTAATTAACCTCTAATTTGTGACCCGTCCATTTGCGTGCCGATGGTTACATTACTTGCCTTGAGGGTTCATGAGCGCTTTAGATACTGCTACCACATTTACCCACTGTTCATATAATAATAGCTTATACCGTAACATAATTGGGAATATCATGTAAATTTCTCATTTTATAAATCGTATTCAGCCCTTTTGTAACTCTCCTTACTACAAGGGGTATCAGGCCATAGTCCACCACGCTGGTCACATGGGGGTTAGCAGACTTCACATGTCTTTCGAAAACTTAATGGGCTCCCTTAGACGTGCAGGTTTCCTTACGAAGCTTTCCTTCACCGTGAGACAAGTGGTAATTATGTTGGAAATAATTCGCACAATAAAATATTACAGATGCGAGACCTGGGATTTGAACCCACTTCACTCAGATTTCCAAGAGAAGGCATTACTATTGGGCTACCACTGCATTACCTTACGAATAGTATATTGAATATATTAAACTAAAAACATAGCAATGCACTGTTACAAGCAAAAAGGCTCATCCTATACACCTGGCCTCCCAGGTTTACTGCTGCCTTCAAACGACTATGGCATTATTTAAATAAACGACCTACAGTTTATCAAGTAATAAAAACGTGTTCGATGTTAAGTAAGGTCTAAGAGAAAAATCGAAGAAGTAAAAGGAAGTGGCATTTATAGTGAAATTTAGTGATCCGCGGCTGAAAGCCGCCTACTGCTCAAATACTGCACTTACTTTACCCTTATAAACAATCCATGTTTTAGTAACATAGGAAAAAATATATAAATATCTATATTGTACGACCCGCCTTAACTTTTGATCTCTTAACCTTGCTTATCAAAACTTACATAACTCACATTAGTGGGCGACACGAAGTTAAAATCCATCTTAATCTCTTTTTATCATTCTGTGCTCAGATTTTGGTGTCCATTTTCCAAAGAAAACTCTGTAACTGGTTTCTTAGCCAAGCTATATGTAGATGACCCATTGTGTTTCATCACATTCTGAAACAAATAACATTAATATTATTACATAAGTAATAACAAGTTAATAACAACTGCCTTAATAGTCTAGTGGCTAGCATGTATGGCTGCAGATCCGGAGGTTCTGGGTTCGAGTCTTACAAATTACCTGCTTATTACGTCTACACTAAAAACGGAAATATAAAAACTTAAAAAAACGACTTCCAGGCACTAAAATGTAAAAAATAACTAAACGGGGGATTTCATTTAGAATAGATACGTAGCCACATACTTTCGAAGTCGGTGCCAGCCTACAATATTTTAAGATATGAATATCTAATATGTAAACATGTATTTTACGTATCGAATTAACATATTATTAGATTTGCTTTGCATCGGCTGGCACCGACCAAAACGAACCCGAGCGAAGCGAGGGTGAGTCGTTAGTTTATCAATAAATTACATACTTTATTTAGCAGTATCATATGGAATCACACAATTCTAATGCTAATTATTATTTTAAACCAATTCGAATATAATAATATCAATTGCTTTTTACGATTATTTACATAGGTGTCTTTTTCTGAAAAACGCAATTTTTCACAAAAAATACTCAGTCTTCTATTTGCTACATATGAATGTACAGATACAGGTGGAACAAATCGATGGGACATGGAAGAAAAATAATTTAAGTATTGAAGTTATCAAGATTGACTCAAAGGAATATTTCTTTATTATTGAAAATAATAATAACTGCATTTAATTTAAAAAAAAAGCTTCCATGAACCGGGAATCAAACCAAATAAAAATTCAAAAAAGAACACCGTCACTATTTTATCGAATTAATCGATATGGTCTATGGGAAGAATAAAATCCTTTGTGCCATCGATTTGTTTCATTCTGTATAATGGACACAAAGTAATAATTAATTAGTTATAAATGCATTATGTAAATATATATAGAAACGGATTTGTTAGAATTGTAGAATTAGTAGCGTGGTTTTCGGAACCATTGCGTTGCAAAACGAGGTACGCATGTCAGTCCCTAAGGCTTTCGAAGGGATAGTTTAATGGGCCCCCTTTGTAAAGATCATTAACCCTCGCTTTCAATGCCTACGTTTATCTTCCTAACCAAAGAAAGTTAATATGATCTTACTCTTATTGTGTATTCGTTCTAAGAAATGATAGTATTGCGCTTACTTTAAATTTTGTTATCTACACAGATAAATAACATTGAAGTGTCTGTTTGTAATGTCAAAATAACAGCGTTTTACTAAATGCATATGAAATTATATACGGTACTTATAAGAAAAAAAAATGTCTGTTTGTTCCGGATAATGTCTGAAACGGCTGTATTGATTTTGACGGGACTTTCACTGGAAGATAGCTGATGTTCTAAGAAGTAATATAGGCTACTTTTATTTTAGAAAATGAATTAGGGTTCCGCTCAAAAAAATTAAAACGTACCTAAACCCGAGCGAAGTGAAAGTGAGTCGCTAGTCTATTATTATAAAGAGGAAAGTTATGATTTTTTGTTTGTTTGTACTGAATAGTCTCCGATACTACTGAACTGATTTAAATGAAATTTGATAAGAAGATAGTTTGAGTTTCCCAGGGTGGGAAGGACATAGGACAATTTTTATCCCGGAAATCATCACTTAAGGGTGTGAAAATGGGGATGAAAGTTTGTATGAGGAATCAGCCTAGGAACGAACTCGAGCGAAGTGAGGGTGAGTCTCTAGTATTCGTATAAAATCGATAGTAATACTTGATTGCTTATTAAAACTAGATAGTTTTCTTATATAAAAACAATTTAAGTAGAGTCGAATTTGCAAATATTATAACATTTTTGTGGTTACAATAAATAAAATAGTTACTTTCTATATATTTCCACATACATACATACATACTTTTATATATCTTGGAATATTCATATATAATTCTTTTAAGAACAATTTTAGTAAATATAATTGAGCTTTTTAATGTCCCGCTGCTGAGCACGGGTCTCTCACAAAGAGGGAGCGAGTTGGCGGACTTCACATGTCGTTAAAAAATATTTAAATTATAAATTTAAATTAAATTTAAAAATATATAAATTTCGTAGATATTGCAATTAATAATAATAAATTTATTTTTTTAATTTATCTTATAATGAAAGTCTCCAAAGCGACCTGTATTTCTGTAATACTTGATTCAACCCACAATCCAGATATGTATAGAACGAGCACGTTAATTCCCTCCTAATAAGGGTTTGTTTACATACGAATCAAAGGACCTCGCATCAAACCGCTAACCAGTTTATTAGTGAAAACAGCAAAATGTAACTTCGTATTAGATTTTATTTTAACATTATACTAGATCTGACGCGCGGTTTTACTAGCAACTCAGGTATGGCTAATGAAAATGGTCACAATAGTGGAACTATATACATATCTATACAGATAACTATAACTTATATACAGATAAAATTTAAGTGTCTGTTTGTAATGTCAAAATAACAGCTTTTTACTAAATGCATATTTTACTAACGGCAGTGTACCCCAGTGGTAAAGCGCTCACTTGGGAAACCAAGTAAAGCGAGTTCGAATCCCGGTAGCCAGCGTGGTGGACTATGGCCTAATCCCCCTCACATTGAAGGGAGATTAAAAAGAGCTAAGTACTAAATGCATATGAAATTATATACGGTACGTATAAGAAAAACACAATTTTTAAAATTTTTGTTTGTCTATTTGATTGTTCCGGCTAATCTCCGAAACGGGGGAAGTGGTTTTAAGAGGCTTTTTCACTGGCACATAACTGTTATAATGTGTAACTTAAGCCACGTTTATTATAGAAAAAAAATTAGGTTTCCGCTCAAAAAATTAAAACGTACCTAGGGACGCACCCAAATGAAGCGAGGGCAAGTCACTGGTAATATAATAAGGTTAGTTTATAAACTGACAGAAAATGCGTAAAAAGTTAATATTCTTATTTCTTATTTGATACTAACTTGTTAAGAATAAAAAAAACCCTACGCAAATTAATTGTCATTTGACGATTATACTGGCACGCGTGAAGCACTTAATCGAGTAATCATACGCCAAAATGCCTTGCATCATTTTGGATAAGAGCTGTTACTCTTATACTGCTAGACCAATATTAACCAAATATAGCTAAGAACCACCGCAAGGAAACTGGCTTTCAAATGAAAAAAACCGCATCGAAATCGGTCTATCCGTTTGAGAGCTAGGATGCCACAGACAGACACACGCACACAGACAGACAGACATCGACGTCAAACTACCACCCCTCTTTTTGCGTCGGGGCTTAAAAATATTGTAGCTACAACATAGTAAGACGCCATTTGAGTAGTAGTACGTACGGCATAACAAAGTGTGCGGGTAACGTAATCTATGTCCCACTACGCTCGAATATATCACGTAGCTACTCTGCCATAGCTTAGATACAGACTTGTCAATAACTAAACATAAAATTATACTTATACAATGAATAAATAATCAACGCTCAGATATATTTTTTTCTTCCGCTCGTTATAAGTCCGACCCTTTAATCAAAAGTTAGTTTAATAATACAAATCCAAGATAATATTTTTATTTAAAATCTCATAGGATAAGTCGATGTACCTAAATGCTAAGTGGATAAAATAAGCTAAAATTTGACAGCAACTTCATTCAAAAGCATTATTTTTTTAAAATGTGATGAAGCTTTTTATTGAAATTAGTTGTATCTTAGCACATTATTATTTTGTGGGTCTGAAAGATAAATTATCCTCACATCGCGACGCAAGTGAAACTTGTTGCTGTTGCGGAAAGAAATGAACTTAGATACAAATTGTTTTCATTATTTTCCTCCAGTTTTGAAGATTTATTTTCAGGTTATTTATTACTATAAACTACACATAACGCCCATAGAACACGACAAGTATACATAGCATTTCACGACAAATAATATAGTTATTTATAATCAAGGGAATTCTTTGCCCTCCACTTAATGTTATTAACTTTTTTTTAAGTAAAAAAATATACTTTATTTACAAAAAAGAAAATTACAAATATACTTAATTATATATACAAACATATGTACACTTAGTTATTACTGTACAAGTCATGTCCGCGTGGAATAGTGGCAAGAATGCTAGCCGCATTCCCCCGTTGAATGGCAATGCCGATTCTTTGGGCGAAAAATGCGCCAGCCCTCCTGTCACCAGTAGAGGTGATAAGACGGGGTGTTATGTCTTTTAAGAAGAGCTTAGCACTTTGACTCCATGGGCCAAGGGTTTCTACAGCAAATGGAATAAAAACATAATTTTGACTAAGGGAGGTGTATTTACGAAACTTAAGTAGTTCAGCCTTCTCCGCCGCAGCTCCCACTTTAGACGCGGTCTCCCTGACATGGGACGAGGCCAATGTGTCAACGCATGTAGCGTCCCACAATAGGGCCCGTCCCCTTTCCCAAGGAACCAGCGACAGGCCATCAGGTCTCTTACCATCATCTCGACTTATTCCAGATGGCTCAATAAGAGCAGGAATGTCAATGGTGGCAAGAGCCCTTTTGATGGTATCGTTTAGGGAACCATGACGGAAAAGTCTCCCAGAACTTCTTTTACAAGAGAGTCCATGGAGTCCATAACAGTCAACCTCTTTTCCACAGGGGCATCTGTGCACAGTGCACAGCGGTGTACCCAGCCGAAAACCTAAAGCAATACGAAAACTATCATTATCCAAAAGTGTACCAAGATTAGTTATTAACTTAATTTTATCAATAAATATATTTATCTCTGCGTGTTAGGTCAATGCTAATAATAGGCCATGACCTTTTTTTAAAGTAGTTTACGTGATAAAAGCAAATTATTAACAAAGTAGTAGTTCATACCTGTTAGCCCAATGTAAAGAAATTAGAACTAATAATAATATAATTAAAAATACA